GCAAAATTTATTGACAGCACCTAACCCACTCTCTCATTTTTTCTCTTTTTACATTCCCTTACCACTCTCTTAACCTCTCTTTCTCTCCTTATATCACTTTGCTTTGTAAAAACCTCTCATATGCTAATTTTTCTCTCTTTCCACCAATCACTTCTCTTCCCTCCCACACCCACCCTCCTATATCTACAAACTTTGGCTGAACCCACTAAGACTTCATTCTTAAATCTACCTCATAATTCTTCAGCCTCATTACCTATATTCTCACTAGCTCATCTTTCTCTACCAGTAGTTGCTTTTATCTTACCCTAACTGCCTGCTCCTTTAGTTTATAAGCTGTCACCTCTCTCTCTCTTCTCACTCATTCATGCCATTCTCCTTGTATTCCATATGCCTTTTGCTCTCACTGTAGCTGCAACTAAAAAATTCTCTGATATATCTGCTGCCCCCTCTATAAACATGCACATCCTGAAGTCTACCCATCAACCTTTTATCCCCGAATATACAGTGGTACCTTGAGTTTTGAACAGCTCCCAACTCGAACAGTTGTGTAAGTGCATTTTTGTAAGTGCTTTTGTAATTGTATTTTTGGGATCTGAAACAGACTATTGTAATTTACATTATTCCTTATGGGAACAAATTCGTTCAGTATCGGCACTCGAACAGCCTTCTGGAATGAATTATGTAAGTTCGTAACTTGAGGTACCAGTGTATAATCCAATAAATTACTGTCATCATGCCCTGTGTCATAGTATCTACTATACTTATTTATCCCATTTTTCTTAAAATATGTGTTACCTATTGTCAAACCATTTTCTATACAAAGTTCATTCAAAGGTCCCTATTGTTTGCCCCTAACTTGCCTACTGTTCCCTCTATAATCATTTCTCCCACTTTAACATTTAGGTCCCCCACCACAGTTACTCTCACACTTGGTTCAAAACTCCCTAAACACTCACTTAACACCTCCCAAAACCTCTCTCTCCTCTACACTCCTCTTCTCCAGGTGCATCAACACATAGTATAACCCACTTTTTGCCTCTGACACTTATTTTAATTCATATAATCCTTGAATTTATACATATCCCATCTTTTTCCCGAGTCTTCAGTATGATATTTGCTGGTAGTAGGCTTATATCATGCACAACCAGACTTACTGCTAGCAGTGCAGTCATGACCAAGTATCATTTACTGTGTAAGGAATCTCCCGTATGAAGATAGACTTCAAGCCTTAAATCTCCACTCTCTGGAGAGATGTAGAATGAGGGGAGATATAATTGAAGTGTATAAGTGGATGATGGGCATAAACAAAGGAGATATTAATAAAGCACTGAGGGGGTCAAACCAGGTAAGAACCAGAAATAATGGATTTAAGTTGGATAAATTTATATTTAGATAGGACATAGGTAAGTACTGGTTTTCTAACAGAGTTGTGGACGCATGGAACAATCTTCCCAATAGGGTGATTGAGGCTAGGACCTTGGGTAGCTTTAAAAAGAGATTGGACAAATATATGAGTGGGAGGGGCTGGGTTTGATTGGTGTCATTGGGTACAGGAGTAAATTCTTGGGTAGGTTTGGGTAGAGGTCATTTTGATAAGGACCTGCCTTGTATGGGCCAGTAGGCCTTCTGCAGTGTTCCTCCATTCTTATGTTCTTAGTATCATGTATTTTCCATAGATTTTATGAGTGTGGAGTTCCCATATTGACAAAATCAGTACTGGTTATCTGTGGTCAGTTCAGTTTTCACTGCCCCCATGGTACAATCCAGACCAGGCCCCTTGGTCACTGGGCTGATTGACCAGGTTGTTGCTGCCTGCCATGCCTGGATCCTATTTCAATTTGTCATTTTCTTATGTTGTTATACAATTTATTTTCAAGCTTTAACCCTTTCAGGTCCGTCCCGTAGATCTACGGCTTCACGTTGAGTGTCCAAACCGTAGATCTACGCCAAAATTCTAGCGCCGTCAAATTTAGCGCGAAAACGCTCATAGGCCTACATGTGAGAGAATGGGTCTGCGTGGTGGGTGTGCGACATAAACAAAAAATCTAGGCACCCGCATAGCATTGTGGGAATGCCGGCTCAGTTACCCTTGTTCACCATGCCTCGTCGCAAGGCAGCTCTCACTCCAAGGAAAATTGGGACTCTCCTGTTCCTATCTGATAGTTCTGACAGTGATGGAAGTTGAAATGAAGATGAATTCTTTGGCTTTGATCAGTTAGTGACCGAAAGGAATGACCAGGATATCGATAATAGTGCAGAAAACCCTGATGATCCTCAACCTTCTACCTCTGGTGTGGGCACTCGTCAGTCACGGTCGGTTGTACCTCAACGCAAGAGAAAACTATTATTTTCGTGTGGCCAGGCCTCTGACTTCAGTAATGATGATGATAGTGATGTGGATTGTGATTTTATTGCTCTTGACGATCATTCGAGTAGTGATAGTGAGGAATCATATTCACCAGTGAAGCGTCGGTATGTACGCTGCCGCATGCGCTCGGGTAGTGTACCCTATGCCGTGCGCAGGGGACGGAGTACATCCCGGAGTACATCCCATGGCCCTACACCAGGTATAGATAGTGATAGTGAGGATGATGTGGCTACACTTGGCATGGATAGACCACAGGCATCAGTAGGTGGTGGTAGTGGTGATGGTAGTGCCACGGCCATGCGTGACTCACCAGCCCAGGCTGGGACCCATGCTGCTGACTCCGCAGTTCAAGGACAAAGTGGAGCGTCAGCCACCAGCCCACCACAACCACAACTACCCGCACAACCAGCCTATGATGTTCAGTATCCACCAACAAACCGTATCTGGGATTGGCAGCAAAATCCCAATTTTGTTTCCAAGCTCCACCACTTTGATGACTCTCAAAGTGGAATTCTACCAACTTGTCCCCTTGGAAACACTGCAAATGAACTGGAATTCTTTGAACTATTCTTTGACCAGCCATTGATGGAAACTATTGTCAGAGAAAGTAATAAGTATTTTGAGTACACCATGGCAAATACGATCATATCACCACAGTCAAGACTACACCGGTGGAAAGAGACGACTGTTGCAGAAATGTATTTGCTTTTTGCAACAATAATGCTTATGCCTCATGTCTATAAGCATAATATAAAAGCATACTGGTCCACAGATCGGCTAATTTCTACCCCAGTCTTCAGTGGAATCATCCCAGTGAACAGGTTTATCTTACTGTTACGTATGTTGCACTTCTCTGACAAAACCAGACCTGACAGAAGTGACAGGTTATACAAGATTAGAAATGTTTTTATGTATCTCAAACAAAAGTTCAGCATGTACTTTTATCCATTCAAGAATCTTGTAATTGATGAGTCTTTGATTTTGTTCAAAGGTAGGCTGTCATTCAAGCAGTATATACCGAGCAAGAGGAAACGCTTTGGTAGAAAACTGTTTGTACTCTGTGACTGTGACAGTGGCCTGGTATTGGATATTGTTGTATACATGGGAAGTAAAATATTGAAAGATACCAAGATGTTATTGGGTATCTCAGGTGACGTAGTGAGAAGCATGATGGCACCTTATCTTGGTAAGGGGCATACATTATATACCGATAACTGGTACACAAGCCCATTACTCAGTGATTTCTTGCGAGTGAACAAGACAGATGTGTGTGGCACAGTGCGTTCTAATCGTAAACATATGCCCAGGCTCAACACAGGTGCTCGTCGTGATGACGTGCAGGTGTTTACTGCCAATGACATCATGGCATTACGGTGGCATGACAAACGAGATGTCACATTGTTGACAACCATTCACCGTAATGAAATGCAAGACAGTGGCAAAGTTGATCGAGTGACTAAAGAATGTATTCGAAAACCAGTGACAGTGATTGATTATACACAAAACATGCGCTTGGTTGACAAATGTGACATGCAGATTGGCTTTGTTGATTGTGTTCGCAAAAGTTACAAGTGGTACATGAAACTTTTCTTCCATCTCATGGACATTTCAATGCTTAATGCATATAATATGTACCAAATGAAGACTGGCAACAGACCACCGTATGATGAATTTTGTTTGTTGTCAGACAACTCATAATGAAGTACCAGGTAACAACACCTGCTATACAACAAGGTCCTCGAACTCCTCAGGATATACCCAAGCATTTGAGGAGGGAAGGTGATCATTTCATAATACAGCTTCCTTCAACTCAGAAGAAATTTGCTCAGAAGAGATGCATCGTCTGTGCACAAACAAAACGACGGCAACAAAGACACAAAGACACTCGGTTTATGTGTGAGGAATGTAAGGTACCTCTGTGCATGGTGCCTTGTTTCAAGGAGTTCCACAAGCTCCAGCAGTTCTAAAACCATGTCCAGTGATTGTAAATATGTAAATATATGATAGAACATTAGTATTATACAAGATTTGTGCATGTTTATTGTAATAAACAGTGGTGGTAAACAATAATATAACAACTTTAGTGTGGTTATTGTGTTCAATACAGTGAGTTTATATATATACATTATTGGTCTCTCAGGCCCCAAATGTTAGTAGGAAAAAAACAAAATTAGAAAAGAAAAGAAAAAACTACAAAAAACGGTAAATAAAGTAATGTGCGTATTTGGGAATCGTCGCTGTTGCCACCACCACGTCATTTGGGGTCAATTTCTCGGCACTGTATCTCGGTAAGTACTGATCAGAATTTTTTTTTTTGTCTTATTACCTTCACAAAAACATACTCTTTAATTCTGTAAGAAAAAATAATTTTTTTTTTTTTTTTTTCAAAATTTCTTGGACACTGGAGCACCACTTCAGATTTTGGCCTTGGACCCTGAAGGGGTTAATTAATATGCAGGGCTATGTAGGCATCACCCTGCAAATAATATGATAGATATCTGCAAATGCAATGTTTGAAATATCTTTTCTTGTAAGTTCATGTAGGTTTAACCCTCTGATAACCAGAAAGATAATGGTAGACACAATGTTTAAACTAAATTAACCTATTAGTTAATGTAAATTTAACCCTCAGATAACCAGAAAGATGGCCGTAGATGCAATGTTTAAATTAGAACATGGTGTTGGTGATAAGGTCAAATCCCAAGAGGTTGACCCTGTGCTTCAGAAACTTGAAAGGTTTCAGGCTCATCGCTGGCATGATGACTATTCTTCTAACAAGACTCTCAGGTCAGCTATGAGGGTCAGTATATTCTTCCTTGAGTATATGAACTATACTGTATACACTATTCACAGTACACTGCATACCAGGGCTGGGACAATTTGAAAATTTTGCCATTACTGGTCAAAATGCTCAGTTGTAGGCCAATACTGATACTTTTTCAGTATTTTATATATTATAATGACTATGTTCAATATATAAGGGAATACTTATTGCTCAGTATGTATTAAGTAATGCAGGAAGGTTAACTATTAAATAGTGTAACTTAATTTCTTTGAGATGTCAATGTCATTACTAGTCACAGGCACCACCATAAGGCTTACAAATTAAATAAAGTAGATATGCCAAAGTATAATTATCTGTGGTATCGACTGATTTTGATGGTATCAGTATTGACCTAAAATTGCATATCAGTATCGGTGAGTACTGCCTAATTTTCACGGTATCGGATGGGCATTGGTTAATTTGGATAGTGATGATTTCTAGGATGATCACTAGTAGATAACAACACCAGTGATTGTTAGGCTGGTCGTTAGCAAATAACAACACTGATGAATATCAGTACCATCAAAAGTTTCCATACTGTTCCATCCTTAGAAAAAAAAAAAAGCATAACATTTCTGAATCTTTCCTCATTTAGTTATCAGATGAAGGCACTATCATAAATTAATTAGGCAAAATAAAAGTCGCAGTAATTTTCCACTCATGAAATTAAAAAATCCAACATGCTCATAATACTCTTTATTTAAAGCTTTAAAAACATTTTGAAAACTAAAAAAAAAAAAATACTACATTATTGTGGTAACTGGACACTGAAAAGCTAAAATTATAGTTTACCTCTCTCCATTATTTAACTGAATTAATTGACACATTTTCATTACCATATGTATGACCCTTATGGGTTTAGCACTTTGTTAAGATTATAATGATGATAATAATTCATTATCATATGCAGTTTTAACTTTCTTAAAGTTTGTGGAAATGCACTGAAAAAATAGAAAAACCATACATTATTCTAATACCCAAAGTTAACAGTAAATGATACATACAGGAGGGTCCTGTTTGTATGGCTCTTTGGTTTCCAGCCTCTGCGATAAATGAAAACCACCAGTGGGTGGAAAAGATCATTTTATTCTTATCATGCATTTAAAACACCTGATACCATGTTTACAGTATTATATATTAAGTGCTCAATAACAGATGTAAAATATGGCTCAAGTTGCCCCTCTCTTATGCAACTGTTGTGAAAAACTTTGGAAAAGCTGTAAAGCCACTAAACATAATGAACAACGGCTCAATTGAAAAACCCATGAAAATGTGCAACACTGAAAAGAGGGTACTGAATACAGGGGAAGGGGGGGCTCTTGTATACATTATTAGCTACAGTTAAAAATTCTTAAATTGAAGTTGAGAATAACCAGCACTCCAATTTTGTAAGTTAATCTATTCCTGAGAAGAGTAAATGTTCCTCCAATGGTGAACCAACTTTCACTCGATTGACGAGGGGATGAACTTAATACAGTGGTCCCTCAAGTTATTAATCTGTTCCAGAAGTTGTAACGTACCTCAAAACTATTGGAACTCAAACAACAAAATACATACCTGGTTTTATGGTAATTCATTCCAAGACTCCAGAAATGCAACTTTTACTGTACCATGGACTTGTTGTGTGGTGGTGGGAGAAGGAAAGTTGTTGGTTGGAAGGAGAAGCTCAACCCAACTGCTGCCTTTTGAAAATATGGTCCAGATTTGTTTTTCTTTTGAGGCTCTGTAAAAAACACAGGAAGTCAGTTCAGTTTTTTCAGTGTTTGGGTGCTCTCTTATGATTCTTTTTACACCTTCCCAATTAGTAAACAGCCGAATTTTATCAGATACAGTGGTAACCCGAGTTTCGTACAGCTCCCAACTCGAGCAATTATGTAAGTGTATTATTGTAAGTGCTTTTGCAAGAGTATTTTTGGGGGTCTGAAACAGACTAATCTAATTTACATTATTTCTTTTTTTTATTAACACATCGGCAGATTCCCACCAAGGCAGGGTGATCCGAAAAAGAAAAACTTTCATAATCATTCACTCCATCACTGTCTTGCCAGAGGGGTGCTTTACACTACAGTTTATAAAACTGCAACATTAACATCCCTCCTTCAGGGTGCAGACACTGTACTTCCCATCTCCAGGACTCAAGTCCGGCCTGCCGGTGTCCCTGAATCCCTTCATAAATGTTACTTTGCTCACACTCCAACAGCACATCAAGTATTAAAAACCATTTGTCTCCATTCACTCCTATCAAATATGCTCATGCATGCTTGCTAGAAGTCCAAGCCCCTTGCACACAAATTTGTTTGGTAACGGCACTCGAACAATCTTCTGGAATGAATTATGGCCAAAACTCTGGGTACCACTATACTTTAATACAGCCTCTCCTCATTTAATGACAGGGTTCTGTTCCTAAGACCACGTCGGTAAACGAATTTGTCGCAAAGTGAGGAGCGTACTGTAATGGTAGTGGGTTTGTGTCAGCCATCTTTGATATTGTTTTAATGTCACCTTTGCACTATTTATATATTTCTGGTATATTTTAAATGTTTTTACAGCAGTGTACTGTATAATGTAATAAACAGAATAGAGAAAAATCAGCTCTAATATACATTATTTAGGTATGCATACTGGTCAGAGAGCCCGTCGTAAATCTGAGTCATCAGTAAACGAGCACATCAGTAAGTGTGGAGAGGTCGTATGCTTCACAATTTCTTTTTACTTGATAATAGTAGAGATAGTTGACTGTGGAAAGCCATACTCATTCACTGATGCACTAGTTCTAGCATCATGTTTTTTCACAATTTCTTACTTGATCTTCAAAGAAATTGCCTGTTTACTGCACACATGGACCAATATGACGTGGTAACAATAAAGATGGCATAATTAAATTACAAATGCAGCTATGAAAAGTAAATAATCCAGAGTTAGTATGGGCAGTACATGTGGTAGCTTCAAACTGAAGAGGAAACAATAAATGCAAATACAAATGCTGCTATTGGCCGAGATGCTACACCAGACTTTTGTTCCCATCGCTGATTGGCTGCTAAGCCACCCCTCTCACATCCTAACTGATGCTCCTGTTGGATCAGTTGCTGCCAGAGAGGCAGGCTGCCGCATCACTGAATAGCAGAGACCCACTCATGTGCACCAACTACTGTACATGTATCGTATCTCAAATTTTTCATTGCAACTCAAAGCTAAATTCCTTTAAGAGGATAAGATGTAACTCAGAATGATCATAACAAGACCATTGTAATTGAAAGGATCACCGTATACCAATAAATTTTTTTTTATTCCACCACTTAAATGGTTATAGTTATGGCAACATAAAATGCCAAACCTTTGTCGCCCAATAAACTTTCCTTAACAGATGCACTGTGATGGTATGTTTCCTCTGGTCTGGTAATAAAATATTTATCATCATCACAGTTATTTTGTTAATACAAGTGTGTTTTGTATTGTACAGGTGAAGCGTGCCGAGGCACAGATCCAAGCGGCGAGGGACGCCGCCTACAATATACCAGTACCTCTTCTGCCGCCCAGTGACAGTGATGCCAGAACAGCCAGGTTGTTGCAGTTCACTCAGGTAAAACTAATGATGGCTTTATTCTGTAAATTATTGCTCACTCAGAACCAATGACAACTCTGTTACTTATGTAAATTATTGTAGTTCACTCAGGCAGAACCATCTATTCCCCAATGGCTGTAATAATATTGTACATACATATAATATCAACCTTTGATATAAAAATATTCTTGATATTATAATGTTAAAACTAATGAATATACTAAGCAATTAGAATACCACACAAACAGTGTGAAATTAACACTAATGAAGCTATAATTATAAGTTAGATGATAATTAGAGTTCTGGTCTGGGACTAGGCCACATCATAGGTGGTAACTGCCGGAATCTTGAACATAGTCAATAACACATAATATACACAATAAATTTAGTTGACTTATGAAGAGAGATAATAATAGTGAAGAATATATCCTCACAAAAAGTTTGGACTATTTTTTGAATTGCAGTTGGAATTTAAAGTTGCACAGATTTTTTATATTTTCCAGATCCTGTGCTTATTTTTATAGACATGCACATGGAATATCAACTACGAATTTATTTCTTGTTAGATACTCATGGATTCTGTTAGGAAGAATTTTAATTCTGCATTAGTATTATGGTTTATTGCTCTGAAGTTGCTAAGTGAATGGTAGTACATATTAAGTATACAAATTATTCATACATATGTTTAAAGTTATCTTTATATGTATATGCTTCTAAACTGTTGTGTTCTGAGCACCTCTGCAAAAACAGTGATTATGTGTGAGTGAGGTGAAAGTGTTGAATGATGATGAAAGTATTTTCTTTTTGGGGATTTTCTTACTTTTTGGGTCACCCTGCCTCGGTGGGAGACGGCCGACTTGTTAAAAAAAAAAAAAATGTTTAAAGTTTTAAATAAATGTGATGTGTGTTGTCTCAAGCTGATATTTGTATAACTGATGGCTGCATTTTGTTGTATGATGATTAGTTTAAGGTTTGTTAGTCCCCATACACAGATGTATGAAATTTAAATGCATAAGTGTGTAGTAAGGAGTAAGCAGAGTTGAGGTATTGTAGGTACATAATAGCAGACTTTTCAGAGTATGCTCATAGTTTTTGATACAGCACTTTTGTTGCAGGATTGCACGAGTACTGGATTTTAGTAGGCAATCCAAGTGTAGATTTTTTCCATCATTTTTTCCTATGAACCTTGTCATTTATAAGGAGGGGACAATACTAATTTTTTTTTTTTGCTGATATCAATACTCCAGGTAAACTCAATTTTAGGCCAATACTGATACCATCAAAATTAGCCAATTATTAGCTTTCTGTAGTTACTGTTTCCTATTTATATTAGAGGTGAGATTAAATTTCTTACTGAAACATCATTGTGTAGTCAGAATTTTATTTTTATTGTTTATAATGTTGATTTTGTGATATTTCTTACATGAAAAATTGAAAAGTGCATAAATCATTAATGTTGTTGCATTTAAATTTCAGTCTAAGACATCGGAGCAGTTACAGAGGGAGCGTCGAACCATTATAGATGTACAGTCAGTATTTGCTAAACTCAAGACCAAGAAGATTTCTTCAGAAGCCAAGAAAGCTTTTGCTCAACAGTCAATCAAGGATATTGTAGCAAATTCACAAAAGAATTTCAGCAATTTTAAAAATACTCTGGGTCCTCAGACACTAGGAATTGTACCGAGGAAGACTGGAACACAAGAGTTATCATTAAAGTTAAATGAAGAAGACCCAAATACAATAGACATGCCTGTAAGTGAACCAAATAATCTGCATGATACTAACAATTTAGGTATTGTGCCTAGAATGACTGTACCTCAAGAATCTTTGTCAACGATAAATGATGAACACACAAGCTCTCAACATGACTCTGCAGTGGATCCAGACAGTCTGCATGATGAACACACCTGTAACATATCTGTGACCAGTTCTGAAGGTTTTTCTATGCTCACAGCCCAGCCCGAGGCCAGTTCAATTACACCAGTTTCCTCAACTGACCCGATATCAAGAAATCTTCCCCTAGTTGGTACCACAACTTCCACAGGTATTGAAAGTACTTTATTGGCAAGTACACAGTGTTGTGATGGTGTATCAAGCTCACACACTCCTCACAGTAAATCACACGTTAGTGTAAGTGTGGTTCCTCATAGCCGTGATAAGGGAACAGTGTCAGGCCTTGTCAGTTATGACTCCAGCACCAGTGATAGTGATAACTCTCTATAAATATTATTATTATCCCCTCCAGTGAGGTTCCTTGATGCCAGTAAGGGGGGGGGGCTCTTGATGTAAGGAACTAGATCTATCTCTTTCTTGAATTGAACCTAATTACATCTTATTCCACAGTCAAAAATGCGATGAGTTAGTTTCACTGTGTATGAATACTGAAGGTGGACATGACATTTATGGGAATAGGGGGAGGGGAAGGAAGGTGTAGCTGTAGGGGTCATACAGCACCTGGGGAGAATGGGAGATAATCAGGTTCCATTACATAAAGGAAAGTCAGTTTTATTCCTTTAATCAAGGTCTGTTCACTGATATCAAGGAACCTCCATTAAGGAATTTTGAGGAGTAATAGATAAATCAATGTCCTCTTAAGAAAAGTATCCGCTGGCAACATTTATAAAATAATGTAAATGCAAATTTAATGCACCCTGATGGCTAATGCTAATAATGTAAAGAAAATTTAATAAAAACTAATACAGCTTTTTTTATTACTGTACTTTATTCCAAATTTTTAACAATGTCTCCCACCAAAGCAGGGTGACTCAAGGAAAAGAAAAACCATCACTCCATCACTGTCTTGCCAGAGTGCCTCTGGCAAGACAGTGATGGAGCTTGGATGCCCCTTTAACCCTTAAACTGTCCAAACATAGATCTACATTTGTGTGCATAGCACTCCAACCTTGATTTTCTCCATAAGAATGTAAAAACAAATGTAGATCTACATTCGGAGTGCTACGTGAGCAAACATAGATCTACGTTTGTACAGTTTAAGGTTAAACTGCAATATCCCCACCTCCAGGACTCAGATCTCATTAACCAGTTTCCTTGAACCCTTTTATGCTGCCTTGCCCACAACAACAGCATGCCAAGTCATAAAAACCATTTGCCTACACTTCCTTCGCTGTATAGCCCTTGTGGCTTAGCGCTTCTTATTGATTATAATAATAATAATACACTTCCTTCTAAAACACACACACACACACCTGTTGGATGTCCAAGCCCCTTGCATACAAAACGTTTACCCCCTGTCCCATCTTTCTTCTGCTACAGACCCTTGCAGTTTAACACTTCTTTTGATTATAATAATTCTGCTACAGCTTTGTACACCCTCCAAGTCTTCCTATTTTTCTCCATTCTCTGTAAATGTCCAAACTGTCTCATCACCTTTCCTCAGCCCTCTGCATAATGCTTTTAGTAACCCTGCACCTCCTAATCTCTAAACTACAAATTCTCTGTATGATATTCACACCACACATTTCCCTCTGACATGACATCTCCACTGCCTCCAGGCTCCTCCTTGCTGTAACACTGAAAACCCATGGATGAAAGATTGTAAGCAGAACATACAATTATAAGAGGACAAATGTTAAGGAAGAAAGAGAGGCAGTAATTTCATGCACTGGTCAGGGAGGTATGCCATCTTTTAGGAGTGAAGAAGAGCAGAATGTAAGTGTGGGGGAGGTACGTGAGGCATTACGTAGAATGAAAGGGGGTAAAGTAGCTGGAACTGATGGGATCATGACAGAAATGTTAAAAGCAGGGGGGGATATAGTGTTGGAGTGGTTGGTACTTTTGTTTAATAAATGTATGAAAGAGGGGAAGGTACCTAGGGATTGGTGGAGAGCATGTATAGTCCCTTTATATAAAGGGAAAGGGGACAAAAGAGACTGTAAAAATTAGAGAGGAATAAGCGTACTGAGTATACCAGGAAAAGTGTACGGTAGGGTTATGATTGAAAGAATTAGAGGTAAGACAGAATGTAGGATTGCGGACGAGCAAGGAGGTTTCAGAGTGGGTAGGGGATGTGTAGATCAAGTGTTTACATTGAAGCATATATGTGAACAGTATTTAGATAAAGGTAGGGAAGTTTTTATTGCATTTATGGATTTAGAAAAGGCATATGATAGAGTGGATAGAGGAGCAATGTGGCAGATGTTGCAAGTATATGGAATAGGTGGTAAGTTATTAAATGGCTGTAAAAGAGTTTTTATGAGGATAGTGAGGCTCAGGTTAGGGTGTGTAGAAGAGAGGGAGACTACTTCCCGGTAAAAGTAGGTCTTAGACAGGAATGTGTAATGTCACCATTGTTGTTTAATATATTTATAGATGGGGTTGCAAAGGAAGTAAATGCTAAGGTGTTCGGGAGAGGGGTGGGATTAAATTTTGGGGAATCAAATTCAAAATGGGAATTGACACAGTTACTTTTTGCTGATGATACTGTGCTTATGGAGATTCTAAAGAAAAATTGCAAAGGTTAGTGGATGAGTTTGGGAATGTGTGTAAAGGTAGAAAGTTGAAAGTGAACATAGAAAAGAGTAAGGTGATGAGGGTGTCAAGTGATTTAGATAAAGAAAAATTGGATATCAAATTGGGGAAGAGGAGTATGGAAGTGAACGTTTTCAGATACTTGGGAGTTGACGTGTCGGCGGATGGATTTATGAAGGATGAAGTTAATCATAGAATTGATGAGGGAAAAAAGGTGAGTGGTGCGTTGAGGTATATGTGGAGTCAAAAAACGTTATCTATGGAGGCAAAGAAGGGAATGTATGAAAGTATAGTAGTACCAACACTCTTATATGGGTGTGAAGCTTGGGTGGTAAATGCAGCAGCGAGGAGACGGTTGGAGGCAGTGGAGATGTCCTGTTTAAAGGCAATGTGTGGTGTAAATATTATGCAGAAAATTCGGAGTGTGGAAATTAGGAAAAGGTGTGGAGTTAATAAAAGTATTAGTCAGAGGGCAGAAGAGAGGTTGTTGAGGTGGTTTGGTCATTTAGAGAAAATGGATCAAAGTAGAATGACATGGAAAGCATATAAATCTATAGGGGAAGGAAGGTGGGGTAGGGGTCGTCCTCAAAAGGGTTGGAGAGAGGGGGGTAAAGGTGGTTTTGTGGGCAATGGGCTTGGACTTCCAGCAAGCGTGCGTGAGTGTGTTAGATAGGAGTGAATGGAGACGAAGGGTACTTGGGACCTGACGATCTGTTGGAGTGTGAGCAGGGTAATATTTAGTGAAGGGATTCAGGGAAACCGGTTATTTTCATATAGTCGGACTTGAGTCCTGGAAATGGGAAGTACAATGCCTGCACTTTAAAGGAGGGGTTTGGGATATTGACAGTTTGGAGGGATATGTTGTGTATCTTTATATGTGTATGCTTCTAAACTGTTGTATTCTGAGCACCTCTGCAAAAACTGATAATGTGTGAGTGTGGTGAAAGTGTTGAATGATTAAAGTATTTTCTTTTTGGGGATTTTCTTTCTTTTTTGGGTCACCCTGCCTTGGTGGGAGACGGCCGACTTGTTGAAAAAAAAAAAAATGGCGATGCCACAAGTGGGGTGCAACCATATCTGTACTCACCCCAATAATGTTTTTAACTCATTTCAATGGTTTACCAGGAGGAATAAAGCAATTACAGTGGACCCCCGGTTAACGATATTTTTTCATTCTAGAAGTATGTTCAGGTGCCAGTACTGACCGAATTTGTTCCCATAAGGAATATTGTGAAGTAGATTAGTCCATTTCAGACCCCCAAACATACACGTACAAACGCACTTACATAAATACCCATACATAATTGGTCGCATTGGGAGGTGATTGTTAAGTGGGGGTCCACTGTATTTGAATATGTCTGCAGATGATGCAAAAATCTTATATAAAATTATTTATTTATTTATTATCACACTGGCCGATTCCCACCAAGGCAGGGTGGCCTGAAAAAGAAAAACTTTCACCATCATTCACTCCATCACTGTCTTGCCAGAAGGGTGCTTTACACTACAGTTTTTAAACTGCAACATTAACACCCTTCCTTCAGAGTGCAGGCACTGTACTTCCCATCTCCAGGACTCAAGTCCGGCCTGCCAGTTTCCCTGAACCCCTTCATAAATGTTACTTTGCTCACACTCCAACAGCACGTCAAGTATTAAAAACCATTTGTCTCCATTCACTCCTATCAAACACGCTCACGCATGCCTGCTGGAAGTCCAAGCCCCTCGCACACAAAACCCCCTTTTTACCCCCCCCAAACCCTTTTCCTAGCCGACCCCTACCCCGCCTTCCTTCGACTACAGACTGATACACTCTTGAGTCATTCTGTTTCGCTCCATTCTCTCTACATGTCTGAACCACCTCAACAACCTTCCTCAGCCCCTGGACAACAGTTTTTGGTAATCCCGCACCTCCTCCTAACTTCCAAACTACGAATTCTCTGCATTATATTCACACCACACATTGCCCTCAGACATGACATCTCCACTGCCTCCAGCCTTCTCCTCGCTCAACATCCACACCCCATGCTTCACACCCATATAAGAGCGTTTGGTAAAACTATACTCTCATACTTTCCCCCTCTTTGCCTCCAAGGCAAAGTTCTTTTTCTCCACAGACTCGTAAGGGGCACCACTCACCCTTTTCCCCTCATGAATTCTATACTCACCTTCTTTCATAGACCCATCCGCTGACACGTCCACTCCCAAATATCTGAATACTTCACCTCCTCAATACTCTCTCCCTCCAATCTGATATCCAATCTTTCATCACCTAATCTTTTTGTTATCCTCATAACCTTACTCTTTCCTGTATTCACTTTAATTTTCTTCTTTTGCATACCCTAACCAAATTCATCCACCAATCTCTGAAAACTTCTCTTCAGAATCTCCCCAAAGAGCACAGTGTCATCAGCAAAGAGCAACTGTGACAACTCCCACTTTATTGTAAATTTATCTTTTAACTCCACGCCTCTTGCCAAGACCCTCACATTTACTTCTCTTACAACCCATCTATAAATATATTAAACAACCACGGTGACTTCACACATCCTTGTCTAAGGCCTACTTTTACTGGGAAAAAATTTTCCCTTTTTCCTACATACTGTAAACTTGAGCCTCACTATCCTCGTAAAAACTCTTCACTGCTTTCAGTAACCTACCTCCTATACCATACACCTGCATCATCTGCCACATTGGCCCCCTATCCACCCTTTTCATACGCCTTTTCCAAATTCCATAAATGCCACAAAGACCCTCTTTAGCCTTATCTAAATACTGTTCACTTAAATTTTCACTGTAAACACCTGGTCCACACACCCCCTACCTTTTCCTAAAGCCCCTTGTTCATCTGCTATCCTATTCTCCGTCTTACTCTTAATTCTTTCAATAATACTCAATAATAACTCTACCATACACTTTACCAGGTATACTCAACAGACTTATCCCCCTATAATTTTTGAAACTCACTTTTGTCCCCTTTGCCTTTATAAAAAGGGAAACTATGCATGCCCCTTCTGCCAATCCCTAGGTACCTTACCCTCTTCCATACATTTAATTAAATAATTGCACCAACCACTCCAAAAAACTATATTCCCCACCTGCTTTTAACATTTCTATCTTTATCCCATTAATCCCGCTGCCTTACCCCCTTTCATTTTACCTACTGCCTCACGAACTTCCCCAAAACTCACAACTGGCTCTTCCTCACTCCTACAAGATG